TTTGGCTCGCTGTCCAGCTGTCCACTTAGTCTCCATACTCTTTTTGTCACTGTGTTCTACAAAGCCCAGCTTCTGTGCTCACCTTCCTTAGGAAGCCTTAACAAGAAAGCAGAGGAAATGAGCTCACCATCAGATGTTCTACAGAGATCGACATGCCATGTGGTTCCCAAGACCAAATCCTTCTTTTTCTACACAGCTGGGAAGAATGATCAGCAAACCTCAGGATTATACAGCTAGCATCTTAATCAAGCCCACTGTTTATCCACACACCTGGTTCAACTGTAGGCTGTTACTAAGTACTAAAAGTCTGTGCTATTTCAGAAGCGCTAAAAAGTATTTTAAAAATCTTGTACTTTTAAGAAGAAGCTACTTCTGATCAGGTATAAAACATTACTTAAATGAATTCACTCTTATGGGTAAAATGAGTAAACAGAAGTATAAATCAGGGATTTGTTAATTGTTCTGCTGAGCACCTACAGATGCTAGATAGGAATTCATTTTTAGTTATAATATGCCTGAATCATACATATGCTTAGAGTAATAACCCATTTTTCTGGTTGTCATATTTTAGGCAACTTGAACATTCTAAAATACATCTGTGATCTCAAACATGATTTCCAAGCCTTTCTACCTGACATTTATGCTTTTTCCTTTCTTAAGTTAGGAAACTCTTACTTATCTTCCAAGACCCAGTTTAAATGTCACACCTCCTGACCCACCTCCAGTCCTGGTTCTAAGGTATTCATCCTATAATGAACCGTAGTTATTTGTTTCTGTGTCCATCTCTTTTCCAAGGCTGTGGGCCACATAGGAGAAGTCTCCAGGGTGAGGTTCCCCACTTCAGTCTTTGCAGTTCTCAGCACTTCACTCCTCTGACAGCTGGGTCCAACAGGGATCTGGTGACTCAGATATCACTGGTGAATTCCCATCTGCTATAATACCAGTGTGGCTGGACCTCTGCTGCTTTAGGTGGCTATGGGGCCTCCTGAGTCTCAACATAAATGTTGGCCCCAGAAGTGAAACTGTGATTCTTTCTTCCTCCCCTGACTCACAAAGTTTGCAGATGGCCTGAGTGCCCTACCTAAAAGCCCAGTTCTTCCTCAGTTTAGATGCTTTCCTGATCTTGGCTTGCTCAACTCAAGTTAGTATATAGTGGGTAACTGTAACTATGTGCTGAATAAATGAACACAATCCCACCCAATTTCATCTCATTAAAGAAGAGGATAAATCTCCTACTTCAGTGAAGCCTGTTTGACATTACTGCTTGGGGTTCTCATTTCATTTGGTGCTGTTTAATTTTGCTAGGGTTGCCATGATGAATGCAAAGATGGAAGACAGATGGTTGGATGGTTGGGGCAGCAGGTAGGTGGTCACTGTCAAGAATGAGGAGTGATCGTAGAGAATGGGAGCAATTACAAGAGAGAACATAGGCAAAGTACCAAACAGAGCAGCACAGCCAGGGAGGACTATTTAGTCCGGGGACAAGTGGCTCTATGTACTTCAAGAGGTCCAAGAATAGCACTGAGTGTCAAGGCCAAACACATAAGAAAAATGGCTGGTAAAATTCAGTGAAAGAACAAAGTAATTTCTCACGTTTTGATAGCCCTAGAGGGCATCAATACATCAAAGCTTAGTTCAGTACCCTGTTCAAACCAAGGATGGGAAACACTGAGAAAAGGTTAAATGATATTCTCTACACTGTCAACATGCTGCCAAAATCAAACATATTTTAGAAACAGCTCTTTCTAAAAATGCAAAACTTCTCATAGATGTCAGAGCTTAAAGTAATAAAATTTTAGTTATCAAGACAAGAGGCGACAACTTAGCTCCAAAGATATCAGATAGTGAAGGCACCAGGTACATGTAGACAAAAGTCACATACAATAAACCAAATTACCTTACATAGCAGGTAGTCAGAGACTTGTGGAGGACCTGATTACATAAGGGTTTAGATAAGAAGTTCTCTTGAAAGAAGCAACTTGGAGCACCAGATGTCTTGAGGACACTGCTCACATTCTGATTTAGCAACTTCAAGCCTGATGGGCTCTATCACCAAAATCAAAATGGATTGTCCAGATATCTGATTGGAGCTCATTTCTCTAGTTACCTTGGCTACCCTTCTAGTTTTTTATCTGCATTCCAAATTTCATGTTCATGATTCTTATTGCTCTGCTTAGTTTTTGATATCTTCAGTTTGGATACCTGGTGGCTAAGTCTGCTCAGTTCCACAATTCCACCCTGATTCCCAGACTGACTCTAATATTCACCTCTGGCTGGCTCTGCCCACTTGGTCTTATTTTATTCTTTTTCACTCTTTGCTAGGCCACTGGCTGAAAGCCAAGCTGAATCCATATAGTAATACTGTATGTTGCACTGGGCTTTACTATAGTTATTTTGTGACTCCAAATATGCTCGTCTTGCTTGACTTAGACTCCCTTAGAGGTGGTATTTTTTTTTTTTTTTTGGTGGTAGTGGGCCTCATGCTTGCTAGGTAGGCACTCTACCACTTGAGCCACTTTACCAGCCTGAGGTGATATTTTTGATCTGACTTTTCTGTAACAGGAAATAGTACATACTAGCATCATATATCTAACCCATGGAGTAAAATGGTTCAATTCCTGGCTAGATATACTAATTTATGAATAGAAGCCTTTAAAGCAGGATGCAAATAAAAATGGATAGTTAGAAGATAATTAACTACCCTTTGGGGCATAAATAGGCAGGATTAACCTTAAAAGGCTCGTATAGAATAGATTCTCAAATGTTATTGTCCAACTTTCTGGGAAGCTAGTAGAGTCTAGTTATCACTCTCAGAATGTCTAATTCAGAAACTCAGTTTCTTCTTTTTTTTTTTTTTTTTTTTGGTGGTGATACTGGGGTTTTGAACTTAGGATTCTGCAACCTGCTTGAGCCACACCTTCAGCTCTTTCTGCTCTGGTTGTTTTGGAGATAGGGTCTTGCTTTTTACTTTTTGTCCCTGGCCCACCAGCACACCCAGATTTTTTTCTATTGAGATAGAGTTTCACAAACTTTTCTTACCTGAGGTTGGCCTGGGCCTGAGATTCTTCTAATTTCAGCTTTCTGTGTAGCTTGGGATGATAGGCACATGCCACCACACCCAGCTACTGGTTGAGATGGGGTCTCATGAACTCCTTCTCCCAGAATGGCTTCAAAACATGATCCTCTGACCCAGATATGAAGCCACACAACTATAACCAACTTGTCTTTGACAAAGGTGCTAAAAATATATGATGGAGAAAAAGCAGCCTCTTCAACAAAAACTGCTGGGAAAACTGGTCAGCAGTCTGCAAAAAACTGAAACTAGATCCATGTATATCACCCTATACCAATATTAACTCAAAATGGATCAAGGATCTTAATATCAGACCCCAAACTCTAAAGCTGATACAGGAAAGAGTAGGAAATACTCTGGAGTTAGTAGGTATATGTAAGAACTTTCTCAATGGAACCTCAGCAGCACAGCAACTAAGAGATAGCACAGATAAATGGGACTTCAGTAAAACTAAAAAGCTTCTGCTCAACAAAAGAAATGGTCTCTAAACTGAAGAGAACACCCACAGAGTGGGAGAAAATATTTGCCAGCTACACATCAGACAAAGGACTAATAACCAGAATATACAGGGAACTCAAATACTAAATTCTCCCAAAACTAATGAACGAATAAAGAAATGGGCAAGTGAACTAAACAGAACGTTCTCAAAAGAAGAAATTCAAATGGCCAAAAAGCACATGAAAAAATGCTCACCATCTGTAGTAATAAAGGAAACGCAAATTAAAACCACACTAAGATTCCACCTCACCCCTGTTAGAATAGCCATCATTAGCAACACCACTAACAACAGGTGTTGGTGAGGATGTGGGGGAAAAAGGAACCCTCTTACACTGTTGGTGGGAATGTAAACTAGTACAACCATGCTGGAAAAAAATTTGGAGGCTACTTAAAAAGCTAAACATTGATCTACCATTTGATCCAGCAATACCACTCTTGGGGATATACCCAAAAGACTGTGACACAGGTTACTCCAGAGGCACCTGCACGCCCATGTTTATTGCAGCACTATTCACAATAGCCAAGTTATGGAAACAGCCAATATGCCCCACTACTAATGAATGGATCAAGAAAATGTGATATCTATACACAATGGAATTTTATGCAGCCATGAAGAAGAACAAAATGTTATCATTTGCTGGTAAATGGATGGAATTGGAGAACATCATTCTGAGTGAGGTTAGCCTGGCCCAAAAGACCAAAAATCGTATGTTCTCCCTCATATTCGGACATTAGATCAAGGGCAAACACAACAAGGGGATTGAACTTTGATCACAATAGAAAAGGGAGTGCACACAAGGGAGATATGAGGATAGGTAAAGACACTTAAAAAATAAGCTAGCATTTGTTGCCCTCCACACAGAGAAACTAAAGCAGATACCTTAAAAGTAAGTGAGGCCAACAGGAGAAGGGGACTAGGAACTAGAGAAAAGGTTAGATCAAAAAGAATTAACCTAGTAGGTAACACACATGCACAAGAAATTAATGTGAGTCAACTCCCTGTATAGCTATCCTTATCTCAACCAGCAAAAACCCTTGGTCCTTCCTATTATTGCTTATACTCTCTCTTCAACAAAATTCGAGATAAGGGCAAAATAGCTTCTGCTGGCTATTGAGGGGATGGAGGGGAGAGGGAGGGTGTGGAGTGGCTGGTAAGGGATGGGGTGGGGGCAGAGGGGAGAAATGACCCAAACATTGTATGCACGTATGAATAATAAAAAAATCAAAAAAAAAAAAACATAGTCCTCTGGATCTCAGATTCCCCCTGCCCCCAAAAGTAGCTAGGATTATAGGCACGAGCCACAGGTGTCTAGTTTTTGTTTTTGGGGGGTGGGGTTGGGTTTTTTTTTTTTTTGTTTAGTTTTGTTCTGTTTTGAGTCAGGATCTTACTATGCAGCTCAGGCTAGTCTTGAACTCTTGATCCTCCTGCTTCCAAGTACTGGGATTACAGGTGTGCACCATCACACCCAGCTGGCATTCTGCATTTTAAACAAAAGTCTTAGATAATTTTGATGCAGTTAGTCCTTGGATCCCTCTATGAAGACACTGCCACTGCATCACATGGTACAGACACAATAAATACAGGGTGCATCTTTGATACTTTGATGCACCCTGGCTAAGGCAGGTCATCTGGTCCAACCTTGTCTAATGATCTTATTGCAGAATTTCAGCCCAGTTCCAAGATCAACTTAGTTTTAGAAAAAAAAGCCTATTTCCCAAGTTTCCATAGGAAGATATTTTAATCTTGTTTTGGAGTAAATGGAGATACTAAGTTATATTTTCCTCTTGACTAAGGAAGAAATGGTATAAAGAAAAAGATGCCATTTAAGCAACACACTATTGTCTTTCACTATGAACCTAGGAGAATCTCAAAAGTCTCATGATGATTTTGTCTAAATTAAACAGAGTATTTTAAACTTATAACAACCAGTGCTACTTTACATATGGAATGAAAACATCTATTTGGTCCAGAAAACCTTCCAATTACCTCTCCAGAAACATATTAACTATTTGTGAGGAATATATATACCTAAATGTTCTGATGCCCAGGATCCCAGCAAGTCAACAGCAGAGTCCAGGAAATGCAACAAGCTATGTGTGGGTAGGTCAAGTTTCTCTGGGCACTTCCCCCAAGCAATAGTGGAGGGAACCTCAGGAAAATCAGTTTAATTAGGAAGATTCTGACGGGCTACAATGCTTTTGGCATCTAAGATGACAGAAGATACTGATGAGCTATTAGATTCAGGAGGTCTGTCTGATATTTGAGATAATGGAGTCTCCATTTGTTTCAGGACAATGGCTTCATTTTCATATCAACATGGTTTATAGCTTGCAGGGGATATATGGACTGACTGATACGATCATTAAGGATGTGAGAGCCCCACTCTTCTTACTATGTGGCATGTGTGCATGTTTGCTTTTTTCCTAGGAGGATCTTTACTTTTTCTCCCAAATCTCATAACTGCTTATGCAGATGTTTAATTGAGAGTAACTACGAATTATGTTTTCTTCTTTCAAACTTTTCTATCTGAATCATATATCACATTCCCTATTTACAAGTGTTCTAAATATTAAAAAATTAAGGTTCAAAAGTAAACACTGCTAGTAGGCAAACCCAAGCCCAGAAAAGTTCAGGTTTTTTTTTTTTTTAATGTTTCTTAATTGAGAGACTTGTGTACAGTAAGACTACTAATGTACTAAAATTGTAAAAAAGAAGTAGAAAGTTGAGGAAGAAATGCGAATAGATAGGACAGTAGAGGCAAAATAACTTAAAATGTGAGAAAACTAGTTACTAGAATACTCAAGAAGTTAGGGCATTAGGACATTAAAGGTGAACTCTTGATCTAGAGCTTTTCAACCCTTCTTCCACCTTGATGTGCTTTGAGTAAGTAAAGCAAGAAGAGCAAATTTCACCCAGCTTATGCTTGCTATTCAATTCTGACCCTTGTCTACTGAATGACTTTAAGTATTTATTATGGAAAAAATGAAAACATGTTAATTTCCAGCTCTGTCCCCATCTGGCCAAGGACAGGATCAATTAATATTACTGGGTTTTGTGTTTAGTGTCTCTGACACCCCTGAGAACCAGACCGTGGGACAGTCTGTCTTTGTGGGGATTCTTGGCCAGAATTGGGAGAACAGGATCAGGACGAGGCCAGTTCATGTAACACAGCTCCGAGCATACAGCACAACTTGCTCCGAGGATGTTGGGCACTGTGCTTCATTAGGAAACAAAATATAAGCTTTCCACACCATTAGGAATGACTTTAGGAGTGAAAGCACATAAGACGATGCCTCACCTCATCAACAATGCACTGCAGAAGCTGGAGAGGCTGCAATGGAAAAGAAGAGAGGAAAAAGTATTAGCTGCTGTGCAATATCTTTACAGTGGAGTGGAAAGAAAAATCATTAATGCAATAAAATACAGCAAGATTAATCAACAACAGCAAATTCTTATAAAAACATTGATGCTCAGGATGTTCTATTATTTCTAATGGTACCTAATCTAATACAGGCAGTTAAAGGTTTGCATTTTCTTCAAAATGCAATTTGCTAAGTTTAAAACAAGGCATTCAAGCATGCAAAGGAAGCAGCCATCAGGAAAAAGAAAAGTGAATTTTTTTCTGAACTCATAAAGCTTACCATTAAAGATCCCTGGTTTTTCTGAATCTGAAAAAAGGCAATATGTAATTAGCATGTCATAATCACAATGACTCACTTGGACACATTATGATCACTGAGAGAAAATTATCGCATTGCTGGTGGCAATTTGTGGGCATGTGTTAACACAATTTACATAATGAAAATACACAAATGTTAATAGCTCGCTTCTCATTTATAGGCGAAAGTCAGCAGAATGTTAATTTCACACAACACTTTTTAGTACCCTCCAGGTTGTATTAGAATAGGGAGAAAAACCATAATCCATTTCAAAAGGCTGTTTACGATTCAGATATAAATAATGTTTTATATTGCTACATTGTGAACACTGGGCTTAATGTTGCAATCATTGCTAATGTTATGAAGCTCACTCTTTTTAAATTAAAAACCGATTTATTTAAAATTGAAATTAAATCATAGTCAGAAATTAGAATTTTGGATTCCTGCCAGTGTCTGCTCACAATCCCCTATTTTGTGAAGAAAACTTTAATTATGTGGTTGAAGTATTTGCCTCTAACTTCAGAGTGAGGTAGAAACTCCACCTTTTCCAAAGTTCCTTCAGCCTGTTTCCACAGCAGCAAGGCTCTCTGGAAAAATCAAATGTATGCAAGTTGTTTCACGCTGTTTTTCAGGGGCAAAAGCAATCCAGTTGGACTGCCTATTCCTATTCAACGTTCTGAGGGTACATTGCCCTAATGCTAATAGCCGTATCTTTTAGAAAGTTGATCAAATGTCACAAGATTAATAAAACTTCAACTTAGTAATCAAAGTATTAAACACTTCCCCCAATGCATACAGTTATTACAAACTCAATGAAAATGGAGTCATACACACTACATTTCCTAAGTAGGACAGATTTAAGAACCAAATACCACCCATGGGTCAACTGTTTTCTGGGATACATGAGTTCTAACAAGCTGTCAAAAATACAGGGAAAATAGTAACTGTCCCTTATATGTCCCTCTCTCTCCCTCTCTTCTGTCTCCCTTCCTCCCGTTTTTTCTCCAGTGCTGGGGATAGAACCCAAGGCCTTATGCATGCTAAACAAGTGCTCTACCACTGAGCTATATCACAGCCCCATTATATGGAGTTTTTTTTTTATGGCAGTACTACTAGGGTTTGAATTCACTTACTATGCAAGTGTTCTACCATTTCAGCCAGGCCCCCAGACCATTTTGTTTTAGTTATTTTTAAAATATGGACCATGATCCTCCTATGTACATATGTTTCCTATGTGGCTGGGATAACAGGAACTTGCCACCATGCCAGTTTTTATTGGTTGAGATGGGGTCTCACAAACTTTTTGCCTGGGCTGGCCTTGAACCTTAAACCTCAATCCTTCCAATTTCTACCTCTCTAGTAGCTAGGATTTTAGGTGTTAAGCTACTATTCTGGGCTCCCTTACATGCTCTTAATGATACTCTAAAAAATTCTTTCCCATAAACACACTGTCATTTGACTTGCACAACCATCCTATGGTACGCAGGGCTGACCATTTCTAGACTCTGATGGTTAAACCAGATCTCCCAGAGGATGGGGTAGGGCCAGGGTTGGTGCTACAGGGTTCTCCAAAGCTCCTTTTCATCTAGTGTCTGTATCATACCTGTCTAAAATAATCATATTACCTTAACAATGGGATTTGCATACTTTATATTTGGCATGATATAGGTAATAAATGATCAGTCTTGGTGTATGGGTCTATAGACTACGAGCTTCTCAAGAGCAGCAGCTATGTCTGTGTATTTCTTTTGCATACATGTGACTGATCAGCACACCCATCCACCTAGTGTTTATGTTTTTGTTTTTGAGACAGTGTCTCACTATGTAGCCCAGGCTGGCCTTCAACTTTCAATTCAACTGTCTTAGCCTCCCAAGTGCTAGAATTACAGATGTGTGCCACCATGCCTAGTTGCTTGAGTGTTTGAAAAGGTGCTTTCCCAGGTACTATCTCAACTGGTCATACTGCCCACTCACTGCCTTCCCACAACTACTATTTCAGGAAGACTCTGCCCCAGATTGAATGGCTCCTTCTACCCTAAAAGGTCCTGCTTAATGTTCCCAAATTACTGGTCCTTCTGGTTTCTCCAGGTGATGAAACTTCCAAACAAGATTCCACAGGTAAAATTTTATATTAGGAGGGAAAGCAGCATTGTTCACCACCACCCTGGAGCAGTCATGGAATTTAGAAACAAGAAATTCTTGAAAAACCCAGGTAACTTTTATGATATGAGAAACCTACGGTGTTTGCTTTTATTATTTTTTTCCCAAGCGCACATGGGTACCCTCACCCCCACGGTCTTAGTAAGAAATATCTACTCCAACAGGGAAGCTATTTGTGATGAACAAAGATTAGAAATTCATTTTGACATCAAAGAGAATGTTTTTCACAAATTTTCAAGAGTCAGGGGACTACAGTAACAATCTCTGAGGAAAACGTGGCAAAAACTCTAAGAGATGTTTCAAAATTAATTTAGGAATAGATTGAGACATTGTCCCCAGTAAATTAGTTTTATGAGTCAAATGAGCTAAGGAGAGAGAATTTCCTCATGAACTGAGATCTTAGAGAAGGTCTCTACCCTGCCCCATTCTGCAAGTTAAAGGCTGACTAACTCAGAGACAACTCAAAATTGTACCATTTTGACAATGCTCTTTACAACAAGAAAAAGAGAAGCAACAATCAAAGCCTTTTTTATGATCTTATAACTATCCTGTTTTGCCCAGGTTTTTATAGAGATATTGTTTCCAGGTTTTATTACATAGTTTTGATAGCAACATTTTATATGAAATCATCTTCATAAATTTTGTATTAAGGTAACACTGCAAAAACCTGAAATTGATTCAAAATGCTTAAGATACTCAATTACTTTTTAACACTGTTCACAATACAGTGACTTATATCTTCTATTTCATAAGAATTTGATGATGCAACATCATTGTAATTGATTCATTTTCTCAATTAAATAAAGCTACTATATATGAATGCCACATAGACCACAGAGCTAGATGTATTAGCTCTTTTCCCTGTTCTAGATATATAGCCTCAAAGGCTGTACTCTGTTCTCTGTTAATTCCACCAGAAAATTTAATACCACAGTCATATTTTTCAAATTCTGAACTGCCATGCAGTCGACTGTATTTATATTAGGCATATTTTTCACTGCTAAACTCTTTGTTGTTTACCTTTTTCGAGATCACATTACTATTCGAGTGCAGCAACCATAAAACAGATCCAAACAAAGTCAACCTCCAGTCCTTGCCTCTGTTTTTGCACACAGTTCATGAAAAAGTGAAGCCCATGGTTTTATAGCACACTAAAAGTTGTATGAATGGTATTCAATAGAAAATGTTAGCTTCACAAATGCCTATCTTTATTGTGTGTCTGCCTTCCAAATGCTTGGCTGTGAGAGCAGAGTTCAGAGGAGCACAATAATATTGTTAGGGCTGACATATTGCCTGCACTTCACAACATATGAAATGCTGTTCATAACTAACTTGTCCGAATTCACATTCTTGCTTGTACATTTTGCTTGTGCTCAGTGGTTTTTATGTCAAACCAGTACTGTGGGACAATGAACAGAACAATAAACTGCTCCAGACATACATTTTTGTGCTAATCAGTCTCTAGAACCGGTAGTGTTTTGATACACTAATTAATTAGATGAACCTCTTCCCTCTTCTGGGCACAGTTTTTTGTTTTGTTTTTTTTTTCTTTTGCCAGCAGTTAGATTCAAGATTTAAAGCCACATTAACAGGGGAAGAATTACACCTTGTTCTGAAGTAAGATGCCCTTATATGTTTAAACAGGGAAGAATGACTTCATAATAGGCAGTCTCAAGTACCAGCTAGTTTTTTCTGTTACTGCATTAACATTTATCATGTATTTCTTTGCTAGGACCATACAGATAGTAATTAGAACAGCTCCTGTAACATGACTTATGCCTTTGGAAAATGATACTGGAAATGAAACTGTCATTGCAAAACAAAACAAAACTAAATAGTCCGCTTGTGGGGCCTCAACTATTTAGTCAATGGTGTTGATGACAGAAGCAATTTTGCAAGTTTCACTTTATGCTTCTCTCTTTGTAAAGGTACCTTTTGCATACAATGGTAAAACCAGCTCTTTTACATTATATTAGTAGGCACAATCAGAAAATGAAAATGAATCCATCTATGTAACTTAGAGAAGACACCAACTATAGCTTTCATTTTCTATTTTACTCCCTGAAATTATGGCTTGCCCTGCAGCTCTTGTCTGAGAGATTTATGTGTGACCTAGGTCAGATCTTCCAATATCGGTTGACAAATTTTCTCTTTACATATTTACTGCTTTTCAAGCTTGTGTTATTTTCTCTTAAATAGAAAAAAAGAAACATAAAATTTCATTGTATGGTTGGAATTTTTAAAGAATATTGTTTTTATTTGTTATGCTACTGGCGTCATATTCTAGCCTTCAGTGTTGAACCCTCTGTCTTCTCACCTTTTTTAACTTCAAATTTTAGAAACTATAGCTATTTTGCAAAACCTCTCTTTTTATACCTGATGCATTAAGCTATAACCCTGACCAAACAGGGGTTGTGGCAAACTGGGACTTTCAGATTCTAAATGAAGAATTATGACCTAAGGAATTTCAAATTTCAGGACCGTAGAGCGGCTCTAACTCAATCTACTGACTTTGCTGTTAAGGAAGCTGAGGTTCATAGTAGAACAGTGTCCATGGTCACAGATAAGAACCTGGCCTGACAACTGGCTCAGGAGGATGCCTGCTGGGGAAAATGCCTGAACTTGGGAATCAGAAAGACCCCTGGAATTCCAGCCAGATTCCCATGGCCTCAGAAGCCCTCTCCCTGCACAGGCTCAGGACTACTATCGGCAAAGTGAAGGGACATGCAAGACAAGCCTACAGGCTCACTGAAAGCAGAGCCATGCTTTTCACCTACGCAATGGAGAAATGGACCGGCATTAGCACTGTGCTACATGCTAAGATGTAGGGATGTACTACCTCCAAAGCC